CTCTCTCTCTCTCTCTCTCTCTCTCTCTCTCTCTCTCTCTCTCTCTCTCTCTTCCTCTCTCTCTCTTCCTCTCTCTCTCTTCCTCTCTCTCCCCCTCCCTCTCTCTCTAAAACTCTGGAACACCTCAAGCAATTTCAACCAAACTTGGTACACAGATGATTTACTCTCTGTGGGAGTAAGACACCCCTAACACTCCTCGTGTGTGTTCTGTTAAAATACAGCCTGTTGTGCCTTAAAAAGGATTCTACTATACTGCCGTAAAATGGCTTCTACTGTACAGCGCTGTGGAATTGCCATAATAACTGCTTCACAGTACTCTATAAGGGGATCCCTCTGATAAGGGGGAAAATCCAACATTAGAAATTACGTTTGGTCCGGACATTTTCCCCTTATAAATAAATACCCAAACAACACTGGCTGGGGAATTCTGGGAGTTGAAGTCCTCTAGGCTTAAAGTTGTCAAGGTTGGAGACCTCTGTATTAGGGTGTTCCCCCCCCCCTGCTCACAAGTGAAGTGAAGCTCTTCAAGAGGCTACTGACCCGTCATGGAGTTTTCAGAGGTACAGAGCTGCTCCCTCAGCTTTTCAACGTCATCCGGGTGAACCTGCTCATAGAGGGTGCTGCCGAACCACTCCGACTGGGGCTGGTTCAGGACGGGCGTAACCGAATCCGAGACGTAGATCACCCGGCCTGTTTCCGCAGCCACCACGAAGAGAAAACCATCAGCCGCCTCTAGGATAAGGTGCTTCAATTCCTTAAGAGAAGGAAGACAAGAATGTCAGAGAACAAAACCTACCGCTAAAGCCCTTCACAGAGAGCGGCCATCTTGTGCTCTAATTATTATTGGACAACACTTTCTGTTTTTTGCTCGCAAACTACTCTCTTTTTGTTTTGGAATATCTTAAAATTGGACAGGTCCCTGTGACTGAGTATTATTCACTGTCTTCTGTCGTACTTCTTGGTTACGCTTCTTCAATAACGTTCTGACTACGTTTTGACATTTGTTTAAGCAATTAGCTGCCAGGCCTGTTGGCTTCCATCCTTTCTCCTCAGTCTTGCTATACCACTTTCGGGCCTTCTGGATAAATAAAACAGCACCCACCATATTTTGGCTGAAAAGAAATGAACTGTCTTACCACCGTTTTCCTTCTCCAAAAGACACGTCCCCATTCTTGCCTCTGAGCTTAAATTACAGAAAACATTTACACAGATCCATCCATTTGTACAATTGAGTGTGTATAGAACACGCTTTGTGCATTGTAAAGTGCTTAGAATACAATTACACTGTATTCCAGACATTATTTCAACAGCCTCAGACCTTCCTGGATATGGTCAAGGACTTTCATTCTTTTTCTCCTGAAGTCTTGAGTTTGACTTCAAGGGAGTTTGACTTCAGGGGAGACATGATAGCAGTGTTCCAATATTTGAGGGGCTGCCACAGAGAGGAGGGGGGGTCAACCTATTTTCCAAAGCACCTGAAGGCCAGACAAGGAATAACAGATGGAAGCTGAACAAGGAGAGATTCAAC